ATCAGAACAGCGCAAATGTGCACTTGGCAGAACCGTACAATTGACACCATTTCAGAACTTTCCCGTGACTTACTGAGGGGGCCGTTAAGTGGGCTAGCGGCCCATTGCGCTTAATTGAGCTTTCGTAATGCTATTTATTCTGCTTACTTTTCTCTACATTTTGTCCCACCAACACCCTTATCGGTTCGTTCGGGTTTTTCTAATGTTGGCTTGCTCCGACAATCTCACATGAACTGCTTCTATTCTCCCTTTTTGAGTCTCCGGGATGGGAGTTGCCTAGATAAGCCTTGGCCCTCGGCCCACAGCCAGGTCCCGGAGAGCAGGTGCTGTTGGGGAAAATTGTGATATATACAGTATCATGCCCTGATCACTTATTTTGTCTAGTTTCGGAGGTGTCAAACTCCTAGTATTGTACGGCCCTCAGTTCCCTCATAATTACCTTCACAGATACCATCTCAAATACTCTTCAGTCTCCACCTCGACTCTTTTAGAAATAACCGGGCTAACCGGAGCCAGAACTATACCGAATGGCGATAAGTGAATGCACTGTGAAAGCTCTGTACAACCAAAAATGGGGAGGTTCACCAAGATCGCTTCACGACTTGCTCTATTCAACGACTCCCTATCTCTTGCTCCACAACTCTGCTGACCCACAACTAAACTAACTGACTGGAAAAAAATAGGAGTATAAATAAATGACAAAGATCACCTATCCTATCCTTCCTGCAATCACTTTCATACCTGTATCTCTAACATCTCCCACACCCATCTCTCATTTCCTCTGTGCGCTCTCATGATAACAAAGAGAGAATAAACAATAGGCTCCCTAAAGACTCCAATTTTGCCTCTCGTACTCCAATTTGCCTTCCGCGCTCCAATTGCCTTCCGAACTCCCACTGTCTTACACACTCCAGTGCTAACAAAAGAAATACAGGAACAAAGACTCCAGAGAGTCTAGAACTCCCTTGACGTTCATATCATTCTCCGTCGGAAGCGCTTCTCCAAAGCGCACAAAAAGTAACGGAAGGAAAGCGAACAGGCGGGAACGGACAAATGGCCGGCCCTGGGAATGTACATCGAATATGCGGACAGGCAAACGAACGGGCGACAAAAGAACCGATGGCGGGTGGACCGGCGGGTAGTGGTGACGACAGACGGATATGCCGGGGGACGAGAAAACAAAGCCTTGAGCATGCCGTGCAGCATCCATGATTTCCAACAGACTCCTGTAATTAGTAATAATCTTATTGAACCCCCTCATGGAAGTTGTGTCAATGATTAGCACCATTTAACTCAAGGTGTGGCGAGTGTCAAAGGCACATTCTCCACCTTTGACCCTCCAGGTGACGATACGTTTGCCTTCAGACATAACTTATCCTCAATGGAATTCTGTTCACAATTTTGGGCGAGTATTTTAGAGTGGTATAAGCAAAAAATTTTCAAATATCTCACTCCTTCCTTCTCAACCTCACTCTTTCCCTCCCTGCCAGCTCCTTCACAATGGCGTCACGGGGGCACCAGACACCAAGCACGAGAAAAAAAATACCAAACACCCAGCGTTAGGAAAGTGAAGCCACTATATATCTTCCGAAATACCATTTACCTCCTATCCTCCCTGATGGCGCTCCTCGCAGCCTCCTCCCAGGCCCAACTCAAGTAGGGACACCAACCTCCGGGGCGTAGAACACACCGCCGTCAAAGCCAAAGCCATCCCAGTGACCATCCCCACCTACCAACTCCTGCTGGATGGGTAGATATGCCCCCCAAAATGAGACCAAATCTAGCCGGTAACACAAAACATCATGTGCAGTGCGTGTCTCTAGGTCTCGGACATCTGGGGGCAGCAGGGAAGATCTACAATGCAAGCTCCTAGTGGGCAAAAAAAGCATAATCGGTATGGTTCGAGGTATTAGAGCCGTGCCAACCATGGGGCTATCATACATCGCTGGGGGTTTGTGGGACGGTGCTAGTGAGGGTTAGGTGCAGCCGTTTGGCCTGGGTCACCGAAAAGGGTATCCGGCAATGTAAGATCGGCAACGGTGAGGACGTAGTTTTGCTTTAGCGGGGTGGGTAGGTGGCCGAATGCGATTGCGCACCAGGTTGAGTTGTTGGTTGATGTGGGTGAGTAAATCTGCTTTCCTGTTGGGAGGGGGTTCTTCCTAGCGTTTTCCAATTGATTTCTGCGCCTTGGGATTTGAAACAAGTTCTGGAGATGAATATTGCTCGTTTATCTTCTAAAAACACTCGCTTCTATCGCTGCAGATGCTCTAGGGGGCAGTCAAGGCGAGGTTTTAATAGTTAGCGTTGTCCACTGTATTATCCATCATCTGGTTAACCTGAGTACCAGATTACCCTACGTTTTGCTAAGATACCCACCACGGAACATCTCCAGCAACCCCTAGACAAAAATCGCCAAGAGCACGAACTTCCCTGGGGCACTGTGCACCCTCGACATGGCAGAAGGGGCAACATCGGAACATGGCTAGCGAGGCTATATCTAATAGAAACGGTAACTTTCCAGAGCAGTAAAATCAACGATAACCGTTACCGGAGGGGGGTATGCGATCACAGACTATCACTCGGCCAAAACGAAACGCCAAGGCTTTCAGGCTGCAGCCAAAAAGAGAGGTATGAAAAATTTTCTCTCCGTTTCTTTCTCTCTAAAAAACACACTCAAAGACTCTCCCAAAGACGCTCTTTAACAATTCGCTTTCTTAACTTGCTCGGACTCACGGCTCCACTAACTGATAGGAAAAGACGAGTATAAATAAACGGCAAAGATCACCTATCCTTCTTTCTATGACTCCATACCGGTATCTCTAGCACCCCCCACCCCATCTTGTGTGCTCTCATGTTAACAAAAAGAAAACAAACAATAGACTCCTGAAAGACTATCCAATTTCCTCCCGTACTCCTACTACCTTCCGTACTCCCTTTGCCTTCCACGCTCCCACTGCCCCTTCTACATCCTGCGCTCCTACTACCTTCCTCACTCCCGCCGCCATACCGCCGTACTTCTCCGACCGACATGATACGGCAAATCGGTAAATTGGTGAACGAATAACAAAGGACCGGTGATACGGTCGGTCGATCGGTCAGGCGTGCGGGCGGACTAATCACTGGGCAGAAGGGCTGAAAGTCTGCAGATAAACTGACAAGAAAATAGGTAGACAGGCGAGCAAACGGACAAGCGAATAAATAAACGGACAGACAGACAGACGATTGGGCGAGCAAACGAGCGAACAAACAATCGGGCAGACAAACAGATAATCGGGTGGACGGACGGATAAGCATAAAGGGGTGAAAGGCATGCCGAGCATGCTCGGAATATGTCGCGCTTGTTAGGGACATGTCAGACAGGTTCTGAGCATGTTGGGTGGTGTTCATGGCGAGCAGCTATTTCCAGCAATATCCCCCAACTAAAACCCACGCTTACGAATGCGCAGCGAGCATATTGCGCGCTCGGGGGTCCTCGGCCAGGAAAAATATTTCGCAGGGTCCAGGTGACCACCAGGGGGAGGTTGCGGAGGATTTGGGAAAACTCTTCAAGCTATTCTTCAGTATTAAGAGGGTTTATTTCCCCCCTGTTGTGTTAAGAGGTATATAAACGAGTGATGGATCATGAAACAAGACTCGATCCTAGTTCAATGGATTGGTGTTCAGAGATTGACAGGAGATTCTCCAGACATTTCTTTCCTTTGTTGTCACGGGAGTGTATTGAGGAAAGGGTAGTATGCTTGGAGAGATACGGATAGGTGTGGTGATTCATGGAATGGTCAGGATACATTGTTTATGTTTTACTGATACACCTGTCTTTACCGTTAGTTTAGAAAAGAGATGAACGAGGTTGTTTTTCCTTACCTTACGCTCTTGCCCATGTCCTCCTACAGTTCCCCCATTGTCCTTTAGTTTTTCTATACTGTTGCGCGAGTCAATCATTAACTGCTGTATCTATCCATAAGAGGTCCCACCGATGTATCCATTCTAATAACGGGACATTGGAGCCACGGGAGCGGCATCACTCTATTCTATAAAAGCATCCTGTTTGCACAAAATTCACGAAGTCGGCTACCCGTCGTAGGAGCCAGCATACAGTGCCATTCGAGCGAGGAGGTGAGAAAGTGAGTGTATTCAAGCTCCCATGGACGGTTGAGTTGAAGCGAGCGATGAGAAATACCAGCCCAATACTCTCTTATACACCACAAAATGGATTTTTATTTCTCTACCATTGGCGATGAGGGGCCTCATTCTAACGTACTTTCCCCACTAGATTATCCCTAGATATATTTTGACAAGGAATTGACCTCTGGAAAATACAGTTTTTGAGGGTTTCACGAAAGAACTGCACGATGTCTGAGATTTTCGTGGGAGATTCACGCAGCAGCCATCCCTCTCCAAAATAAAATTCCTCTCCATCTCCACCATTTACATGTTTGCACCCGTGCTCTTCAGGCACCTCCTAACCTTCCAAAAATGCGTATGACTCGGGAGAACCTCTTCCCGCGGTAAGCTCTCTTCAACCTCACTATCCACGCCGCCGCTGGACTGGCAGTCATCCCTCACCTCATGCCTGTAGAGCGGGTATATCGCAGCGATGACAGGCATATTGGACTCCCGCCACTTACGGCAGCAGTAGGTCACTTGCCCCTTGAACACCTGGGGGGTGTACAGGTACAAATCCTGCTATGGACGCTTCAGGGGCTTATGGAAACTTGTACTGAACGAGGGAAGGGCTGTCTTGCGACTTGTTCTTTTCGAACTTTCGCAGTACTTGGAGGCAGTTAATCGCTATGAGAAGGTTGCGCCCGGAGAAGTCAGTTATGGCTCACGACCTGTGGGATAAAGTTAGTGGTGCGCCGGAAGGTAAGGGCAGCGGGGAGTCAGGCTCTGTTTCGCTCCAGAATTGGGGGATTGATGTGGGGGGGGGTAGGCTTCATCCGGTGAAGAGTCTCCTCGGAATCTCAGGAGCCGCGTCAGCCACTCGAATATGAGCACATCTCTTGAAAGGCCCCTAATTGGTTCATGGTTTCATTCTAGTGGGGATATAACTAAAATCTACGAGAAACCCGTAACCATTTCAACATTCTCACCGAGATGACACTTATAAGTCTGCCCGTGATCCCCCAACCTACTGGCATCGCCTGGTCCAATGTTTTCTTTCCATCAGCTCCACATTCCCCGGGTACCTTTTGGCATGGCTTCTCGCCTTTTCACATTCTCGCTCTCCCCCCTCAACCACTTGGCGACTATTCTGATCCCTCATAGTTAATACTGCTTAGTCCCTACCCCCTGCCCCCGTGGGCACGACTCACTCCTGGAATCACGCGTCCAATTATATTTCGAGAACCCTAATCGAGGGCTGGGTATAATCAACTCTCACGGTAGCTGGGCCAATAGTTACCGACCCTCTCGCACCATAGCCTTCGCTATCTATACATTCATTAGTTCCACGCCGTAACCTAACCGATTTACAGACAGCTTTCTTAGCTCCTTTATCTCTAAACGAAACCGATTTGGTACTCAGCAGAAGGGGTGGTAGTGGTGGTTGCATTAGGGGCGCATCGAGTGTGGCCAATATAATAACCTTCAGAAGTACAGCCAAGAGACACTTGTGGCTAAGATAATGCAGTACTCTATAGTAAAATATTAGCAATAGCAAAACATAGGCGAGTTTGTACAGATTAGGCAAACATAAAGCTCGTTTGCTGACTCAAACCGCGTCTCGCCCCACCGCCGGTCCCTTCCTTCAATCTCGTTCCTCTACTTCAAGATCTCTTCGTCAACATCCCATCCTCTTTGGAATTTCAGAAATGCTTCTCACTCACCCCACAAACGCTCATTGCCAATGCATCTCTTGCCCCCTCAGAAGATGAATATCCTGCCTTCTTGGCGCTTGTCGGGACCCCATCACCACTTTCTCCTCTTGAAAAAGTGGCACCATCCTTGTTCGACCGACCCTTTCCGGTAAACCTCTTATCTATATCCGAAGAGGAAGAAGAGGGATAAGAATGGAAAATTAACGTTTGTTTAGTAATTTTGTATCTTTGTATCTTCCCTACTTTCCGTCATACACCCCAGGGAGCTGGTGGGGGCTCCAGCGATGAGTATCAATGTGAACCGCGTGATCCAAGATCCATCCCTTTTCGCATTCACAGCTTCCCCTAAACAATGCATCTCCATCCCCGCCCGGCTGCCGGCCGGTCTGTCGCAGTATTCACAGTAGAAGACGGTACAAACGAGTTTGAAGCCAACTCAATGGGAAAGAGAGAGTTTGGAGCATCGTAAGCCAGATATTTAGCCAAAATCTCTTACCCAAACACATGATAATCCAAGGGTGAGGAAATGATTAGCGCCTTGCCCACATCTGGTTCTAGACCCGCCAGTCAGCGTGCATATTTCTTTATATTAGCGAGATGCCTATCGGGCTTGCCAGCAACAATTTTCATGGTGTTCCATGTGAAAAGGAGTACCCGAGTATGCTCATAAGTGGCAAATCGACTGATACTATCTTCCCATCGCAAACAACTCAAAGGTTTTGCCAGGAATCCCAACAAACCTCTATCTCCCTGCAAACCAGCGGTCCTGTCAGTGAGCAACTCAATTTGTTGCTCCATTCCCGGCATTGCCCCCTCTGCATCCCCGCCATGGTGGCGAGCGACTTCCACCAGAAAGTATAATATCGTTAAAACGTACCGAACTTCCTTCCCGCTCCATTTCCGGTGTCCTTCGCCCCACCTTGCCCTATTGCTAGTCTACCCAAAGCAGCCTTCTCTAATTCTCTTCCTACCGGACCGCGGACAGAACTAAATAACGGCCCCAGAAGCCCTGTGTGCCTGTTCCTGAAACACTGGCCAAGCGGGAGATAGTGGATGGAGAAATGGAGGATGTAGTCTAATTGCGGGGGGGGGGCAGATGGCGATGATGTTTTCGCTGGGTAAATAATGCGACACCAGGGATCGTTGAGGTTGGCGATAGACCGGCCGAAGGTACAGTAGGGGCCCCGCAACATCGAGGGTTAATCCTGACTCATGAGCATCGTTTCCCTCGGAAATAGGTGAGCTGGAGCGGTGGCGACGAGCCTTGAAGAGGACAATGCATGATATTACGATATTATACGAATAGAGCAAGTTGACGGGGGGGAACAAAATTAAATTCGAATCAAATGAGCTGGGACAAAACTGACGACTTCGTGGTTAAGGAAATAACAAAAGCAGTACCAAGGTCATAACACATATAAGAAATGAGAGCCCACACCCGAGCACTATTTTGATGCCCCGAAATCCGCAAGTGCTACTACTACTCTCGTTGCCATAGATGTTCATGTATCAACGAATGCAGAAAATTTACGCAACCTCCACCACCGGCTGCGCCTTATCCATGTTGGGTGGTTGGACCTGTTCTTGATCAGAACAACGTTGCGCACCCTCCCCACCTTCCCCATCCCCGCTCTCCATCAAACTCGAAATCGGTCTCGTCTCAGGCGCTGGTCCGAGTGCACTGAAGAGGGTGAAAGCAAACGAAAATATCCTATAACGCAAAACGGTTAATACCTCGGAACCATCCGTCCGCCTCCAGCTCCCCCTACTCTCCCCCTAAAACGAGGATCTAGAAAGAAACCTACAGAATAGCCAACGAAATAAAGAACCTCGCCCTCATCAGCTCACAGATCCCACCATTCACCATATTATCCCCAAACCCACACTCGGGAAACGGCCCATCTGTATTGAACCACCCCTTGGGCTTGCTCAAGAACCCCAAGTCCATCGCCTCGGAGACGGCGACCACCATCCAGAGGCAGAACTCTGCAAAGAACAGGAGGAAAACCGATATCCCGTGGAGCCTGCCCTTGACGAAGAACAAGTACATGTCTATCGCCAGATGCACGGTGGTCACAAGGGAGACGGTTAGGACCAGGACGCTTATGAGCGTTAAGTTAGTATCGAAAAAAGGGAAAGAGTGAGGGAGGGGAAAGTACCCCATTACATGCGAACGCTTTGCCGTTTCCGCGATGCATATCCCAGCGTTTAGTATAGTGATAAGGATAAAGACAAAGAATCCTGGGCGAATGGGGGTTCTGTTCCATCGCGGGTCGCCGGAGGGCAAGATGCTAGTTCCCATATCGAGAGTGGAAAAAGGTCAGGGATATTTTACCTCCTGATGATTTGCAAATATCGGTTCTGAAAGTGTGTTGCGCTGTAGGGTAGCGGACCGCGATAACTTCGAAACACGGATTACTGGGGGGCTGCGCAGGGAAAATCGTCTGTCGTGTATTTTGGGGTGGTTTCTAACAGGTCGGCTCTTCTTTTCTCGGCGCCTTGTGTAAATGGTGGGGCCGCCCGACTCGAGAGGGCCCGGGGCAAGCCCCCAGGCTCGCGATTGGTCGGTGTATATAATTGGCATTTGGGTGTCTCAGGTTGAGATTGTGTGCTTCTAGAGGATAGCATCGAGCAAATTGTTCGGAAAACCGAAACGGAGATTCTAATAGGTCCTCGTATGGTTGATGGCAACCACAACCCAGCTATTCCTCCCCCTTCGTTTTATGTTGTCTGCTCCATAAATTCATAGAAGTGATAATAGCCAGGGTGCAATTTAATCTGTATCTTTTGAAGCAGAAAAACAAAACTAAAAAGTTTTCTATCGAAAATAAATGAATTGGAAAAAGTAAATAGAAGTAAATTATTAGACCAGACGGAGGATAAAAATAATGACTACTTTTTCGGTTCTAAAATAAAAATTTTAATTTCTAGGTCTTACTATAAATTGAATATGTAGTAATAATAAGATATAAGCGTACTTACTTATATATTGCCAATGTGTTTCTATTAGAACTTAACATCTAACAAGATTGACTATCTATCTTAATAAATAGAATTAGTACATTAATATGTTCAATAGCTTCTAGACAATCTATTTTAATAAAAAAGTATACACTTATCCTTTTTAAAAACTTCTATATTCTAATAATTTTAGTACCAAAATTATTTAAAATCTATCTAAAGTTTTATGATAAAAAATAAAACTAATTTTATATCTGGCTCAAGCAATTTAAAAACATGATGAGGCTGAAAAAAAAGGTTTACATGTAGTTATACAGGTTTGAATACCAAGACCTACTCTTCAGAGTACAAGACCATAAATGAAACACAGTGTTTACATGTAGCTAGTACAGGTACTTTGTTAGCTGAGTTTGTTCCATATTAGATTACAGTATTGCTCTCAATACCAAGTTTGTTTTATGTTTGATTGTAGTATAGCTCTCGATATTTAGTTTGATTTATTTTTGATTGAAGTATCGCTCTTAATACTGAGTTTGTTCTATATTTGATTGCAGTATTGCTGCTAATATTGAGTTTATTTTATATTTGATTGTAGTATTGCTCATAATATTGAGTTTGTTTTATATTTGATTTGGTATCAGTTTTGATTCTGATAGATTATTTTACTTGTTGATTCTGTTCATGCTAAACATGAATAAATTTACGTATTTAAAAACTGTATCAGGCTATTTGTTACAAACAGGATTGTGATAAGGCAGGTTGAAGAGGTGGAATAAATGTTTTCACATGATTCACACTGGTGAGTCATATGATGTTATGACTTTTGTGTATGACTCGTACTTATGAGTTACAAGTTTCACGCATGTGATGCACTTAGCTCACATGACTTGTTATAAGGGTTATGATTGGTTTAGGTATGTTGTGTAGTTGACCTATATGAGTCAGCTGAGGATCTTACATGTCTCACGATTTTGAGTCAAAGGATATGATAACCTGAATGTATGAGGTATACAGGGTTAGGATTAGGTAAGGTGTCTGTATAAATAGTGAGGTCTAGAGACCTCTGATACATGCTCAGGGTGCGTTCTCCATGCTTAAGAGGCTATCGGGTCCAGGGAAAGGGCTCGCGCCCTTCCTCTGCCACAGGCTAGCATCCTCTCTTCCTCGCACCCATACTCCTTTTCGGAGCAGATCTCTTCTCCCCCTCTGCAATAATGATGGACAGGCTTGCTGTCTTTTGGAGACAGGTTCAACGTTGGGTCACCAACTGTTACTCTGAAACCCCCACTGGTATCCTCCCCTGCGAGTCGGCCCTCCCCTGCGAGTCGGCCCTCCCCTGCGAGTCGGCCCTCCCCTGCGAGTCGGCCCTCCCCTGCGAGTCGGCCCTCCCCTGCGAGTCGGCCCTCCCCTGCGAGTCGGCCCTCCCCTGCGAGTCGGCCCTCCCCTGCGAGTCGGCCCTCCCCCCAATACAATGCCTCATTGAACACCGACAGCGCCTGGGGGCGCTGAGGATGGTATGCCTCCCCCTGGAAAGAAACCTGGCAACTGCTCAGCTGCACTGCTCCTTCCCTACAACCTCTTGCTACCACTCCCCAGAGGACCACCGCGCCTTGACGGTGGGGCTTACGCTGGGCTACAGGCCCCTGAATTGGAAAACCCCCGAGCCGTCCCCTCTGGTAAGGAGGCATCTCCCACTTGATGCAATAGCCCAGCGTGTAAATAAGCTTGTCGGTTATCTTGCTAGGGTCCCGCCAGCGTCGCCTGCCCTCCTCCCTGAGCCCTTGTCCCCTATGGCACCTGACAACGCTTCTTTTCCAGCTCCTAAGAAAGGCTGTTGTCAGTTCCTCCTAAACGCTTGGACCAAACAATACCGCCCCCTCCCAGATACATCTACTCGCCCACTCTGTCGCCTCACTCCTTCATAGGCTTGGGGAAATTCATAGCGGGCAGGATCCACCAGATGAGGTCAGAAAAGAGCTACCTGGTCAGCTACCGATCATGGAGAGACCCGGATACCCTCGACATGTGCCCCGACTGCGAGGAGGAACCTGAATCCTTCAACCACGCCATTCTCAAATGCCCATCACACAAAAGAGCCAGAGACACCCACCTCCGGGGAGTCAAGTGCCTTGATGAAGGGGAACCCATCTGGATATCGCCGGAACTGCTTCACGGCCTATCTGCCTACATCGCCACCACCTTGGTTGGCTTCCCCCCGGACATGCCTGTAATAAGATACCCCTCATCTGAGGCCCAACCTGTCGAGAGTGCCGTTCCCTTACTTGTTTCCTCGCCCTCGGCCTAAGCTGTTGGTGAAAGAATACTTCTTTAGTTTCCTTGCATATAGGATTTCTATATGTTTAGTTTGAATGTTTTCCTTTATAGTTAGCTGTTTATGTGCTTTGTGATATGGGTTGTTCGCGCTTATTGGAGGCAATAGTTTGGTTTCCTTTATCTTGTTTGCTTTGGGATTAAGGTTTTATTTACGCCATAGCTACCGCTGCATGCGAGTTCTTGTACCTAAACAATGAATACATGATTATAAAAAAAAAAATAAAAAAAAAAAGACCTCTGATACATCATGCTCCACGCCCTCTTCTTCCCCCCCCCCTACGTTTTACTTCTGCTCTCAACACCATCTGCATCTGGTGAATAAGCCCCTTACACTTTCACGATCTTGCGAGCCTATACCCAGGGATTATCTCTCCTTGCTGGGACATGGACCCCTCCGCTCACTCTTGTTCCAGCACACCTGTGTCCAATCAGGGCCCTGCCTCTCACCCTCCTTCGAGGCCATCTTCGGCTGCACCAATACTCCCTATTCACGAGAACCTAGCTAGGCTTATCCCTTCTGCGAGGGCCCTGCTAGACTGGCCCCCCGAACGCTTACCCCCAATCTCCCATCAGGAGGTGCTAGAACTCTCTACAGGAGAGTGCTACCTGCTTCCCCTGGTCTCCTCTCTAGTGCACGGCATGTTCGCCCACTCCTGAACTGTCGAGGAACTCAATACGAGAATTCACGACCTATCTTTCCAGATTGCAAACACGCTCCCTTCCAATGACACCCGAGTCAATGCCACCAACATTTTGGCGAACTCCGTGGCCTCCCTCCAAGCATCCATCAGGGATCTGTCCACTAGGTTGGTCGCAAACCCCGCTCCTCCATCCCAACCGCCTGTGTTGGCCCCCACTGCCCCGCTCCATTGGCCTTCCTGAAAGGGTAAAGAGCCCGCCACCAACACCTTTGCCCCCACGCCCCCTGGGGTCCTACACTTGGGATACCCGGCGTTTTACTACCCAGACCTCCCAAACTACGACACGGCGATAGGCAAGTACAGGGGAAACCCTGCTGCCTTCGTGGCTAAATACCCCAGGACATGGGAAGCACAGCAATGGAGGGACGGCAAATACCCCGACCCAGCTGAATTCCTACCCGGCATTCCCAACTAAGATGGCCCTTCGCCTGGCAAGACCAGACCGTCCTACTCCGAGGCCGCATCCTCAGGGCCCTCAAAGGCCAAGAAAAAACAAGGTGCTTCCACCCCCTCAGCAGCACAAGTCGCGAAGACAGTTTCAAGGCCGGCTAGTCCTCCCGCCCCTTGGCCACTGCCCGTTGCTGAAAGAAGGTTCTTTGTACCTTGATCTCTCGCCACTCACCACCCCCTGAGTAGAGAAATAGCGGCTTCCTTCTCAGACAAAGTGGCAACAGTCTTTAAAGAGGCTAATTGTCCCCTCCCAAAAGCCTTTACAGCAAAGGTGAACGATCGCGGCACAGTGACCCTCTTTGCCCTTGATCCTCACACTCCAGCAACCGCATACACACTATACTACGAAGCCCTCTCCTCCCGTCTAAACAAAGCCTACCTTGTAGGTGAAAACCCTTACCTCTGCTTCCAACCTGCGCCCAACGAGGTGCCGCTAGCGGTTCACTTCCTCCCCATCTCCTTCCTTCCCGACGATTAAGAGGCCCTGTTGGGTACCCTGAGGGAAACTATTCTGAATGTCAAGGAAGTACAAATCCTCTCAGCACGGTTCCTTGTTCAAGACGAGGAGATTCACCTCTCCAAGGCAAACACCTCATGCATCGTCACGGTCATGCCCATGGATGTGGACAAGATGGTGGGCAGGACCGTCCTCTACGCCTCATGCTGCTGGATCGAAAGAGCCTTCTCCGCGAACAAACTCACTCAATGCAAGAACTGCTGGGGCTATGGCCACTAAGCACCCAGATGCAAAACAGACCACCCGGTCTGCCCAAGATGTGCCCTCAGCCACACAAAGGTGACTCACCACTGCCAGAACCCCACTTGCCCCAAAGGTGGCAACCTCAAACCTGTGGCGTACTGCTGCCCCACCTCAGTACTCTTTTGCACCAACTGTTCCTCCGCCCACCCTGCCTTCGATCAATCATGCACCAAACGACCAAAGCCCCCTCTCCTGCCCTCCTCCGAGTCCCCTCCCCTCGGAGAA